TGTACTATATCAAAAATTAAGCTAATAAAAACCAACTGGCATTGTCGCCAAAGTTCAAAAAAAAAAAAAAAAAAAGATTTACTAGCATCTTTATAAACTAAATATTGATGCAATATTCTAAAGCCTTTTATCTTAAAAAAACATTAAACAATACAATATTTATTATATTAAACAATTTCTAAATATTACTAATACAGAACTATCTACATAAAATCTTTTTTATTATAATATCAAAAAAATACCAAAAGACTAGTGTTTTCATTAGTTTTATATAATACAATACTTAATAATTATATTTACAAACTCATTCTTAACATTTTCATACTCTAATCTATATATATTGACAAATTAGATTTCTATTAAAATAGGCTAAATAATTATAAATAATTTATCTTTTAAAAGAATTTATAATTTTTTTAATAAGAATCTTAAAACTCAATATTATAAATTATTACTTAATATATCCTGGCTGCTTACAAAAAATACAACTTAAACAACACATTATTTTATACCAAATATTGCTATTTTAATGTGACAAAATTTTTTTACAATCTCTAAATAGACTGCAAAAAAAAATTTATATCAACTTAAAAGACTTTAAACAAGCTCTAATCTGATTTTATTAGCAACATTATAAATTTATAATCAACTAACATACTTAACTCTAATATGTCTTTTATGTTGCTTTATAAACTCACTAATGCCATTCTAAAATGATCTAGTAAAGACCAACTTTAATATAAAAACCTTAATATTTTATATTACAAATAGATGATAAAATATAAAAAATAACTTTTAAATAGTAGCAAAGTATTATTTTTAATGCTTTCATCTAATCTTTAGATGGTTTAATAATTTTTAGTTATCTTATCTAAACATATTTATTGTCCGAAGCGTAGCGAAGGACTTACATTTCAGGTACTTGGCAAACTTTTGTCTGTCTGTTCATCCACGTGACCACACTATATCACGTGTCACATACTAGATGTCTGAGCCAAATTTTGTCCGTCTGTCCATCCACGTGACCACGCTATATCACGTGTCACATACTATAGGTCTGAGCCAAATTTTGTCCGTTTGTCCACCCACGTGATCACGCTATATCATGTGCCACATACTAGATGTCAGCCAAATTTTGTCTGTCTGTCCACCCACGTGACCACGCTAAATCATGTGTCACATACTAGATCTCTGAGCCCGTGTGCTACATGCTGTCTGTTGTTACTGCAAGGGAGAGCTTTTATATCTTCCAACCAGAACTCAGTGCTGCAAGCATAAAATACAAAACCCGTACTTTACTTCAAATACAAGAAAAATGCTCTAAAGCGAACTAGTACAAGAAAGAATCACTCCTTTTATTATACTCTAACTAATTATTATGCTATTAGACTCTAACTATAAAATTATCGTTAAAGTAGATTCGATTATTAACATTATACTTTTCTTATGTAACTTTATAATAGTTTGATTTATACATCATTTTTCGTAACACTGTTAACCTGCGTGATACCCGTTACTTCCTTTTTTAATACAGTAATAAAAGCCATACAAAACTTACTAAATAATAAATCCTAACGTAACAAGTTTTAAACATGACCGACTTTTAAAAAAAATTTTATATCGTTATGTAAAAAATTTTTTTTTATAACCACATCCAGATAGTATACTTGAAATTTGAAAATTTCGGATTATGAATCCCGATTTATTGCAAAAATACCATTCCTGATGGATCGTCAGTACCGATCTTGATGGAGTTAAAAAAAAGAAATTTATTGATTACTGTTCCTGATAGATGAACCCTAATCCTACCTTTTTTCATATATTTCGTAATAGTAGTATAGCATTTTAGAAGCCCTTTATTTAGAACCCTATCAGGAACGGTATGAATCAACATTTGTTTATTACCCTATCAGGAACAGTACCGACGATCCATCAGGAATGGTATTTTTGCTGATTTATTAAGTTGTTACTAAATTTTTTTTTTTTACTGTAAGCTAGTCTGGTAAACAGTTTCGAATTCACATATTCTATACAGTCGACTCTGGATATAATGAACGAACGAACAAACGGACGGATAAACGAACTCAAACGAACAGACAAACGAACTCAAACTTTTATATTTTCTTACTGGTTACTTTTTAAATTTCATGTTATGTAAACCCGAATAACAATTATTTTATTAGGGAAAATAGTCGTTCCTCCTCAGCCTTTCTTTCTTGCAGTCTCTTGGATTTTTTTATACGTTGAAGTCTTTCGAGAGAAAATGGACGGAAAAGAAGATCTTTGAGTGTACAAACTCGGGACACTGCCACAAATGAGAGCCCAGCTGCATATTCTCTTTCCCCAAGATCTATTTTACTCTTTGCAAGCGTTAATCCTTGGCTTTTATGTACCGTAATTGCCCACGCAAGACAAATAGAGAGTTGTAAACGTGAGCATGTTACATTTTTTGATTCCCAGATTTGCTGAATCGGTATTATGGGAACTAATCTCTTGTTTTCTATAGTTATAATAGGAGGACCACTATAGTCTTCAAATTCGACAAGAAGTACGCTTGGAAGGCAAGGAGGAGCTTTATCTTTTTCGAACAAAATTTCTTGGATCACTCCCATCGAACCATTAACTAACCCAGCTTCAGTCCATAGGTTAGCCCTAAGCATGATGCGTGCATTTCGAGCCAACAACAGGTAAGGCTCAAGACCTTTTGCTGTATTAGAATCAGCTTTAGATGCTTCACGGCTACCCATTGCATGGTGAGCATTGATTCTGGCAACGGGACAGTTTAATGCTCTTAGTTTATTAAAATTAACCTCATTTACGTCAGTCTTCCAAGGTAGAATATGTGTTGCATCTAAAAATTCGCTATTATCTACTCCAGGAGAATTAGCGAGCCGTGTAGTAAGTGTCTTCCAGTCATCCATTGTGGACTCTCCATCACGAAGACGTAATAATATATTCCTAAAATGGCATTGGTCTTCCGAGTTTCCAGATTGACGTTGAACAACATCAAGCTTATAGACCTCTAAAAATTGTTTGTATGCAATAATGCCATTATTTGATAGTGAATCACGTCGAAGGGTTGATGTATATATGGGATCATCAAGAACTGGTGGGAGTTGTCCAAAATCACCGATTAGAATGACAGACTGATTACCAAAAGGTTGATCTCGTTGCTCAGAAAAAGCCTGTCGTAATCGCATGTCGATTAAGGCGAGTGTTCTATGTCCGACCATGCTTTTTTCATCAATGATAAAATATTTTACATCTTGTAACTTATTTTGTAATTGTTTTAGACGTTCGCCATTTAGATCGAAATTAGTGCAATTTACTGGAATGGAGAGTGCCGAATGAATTGTCGTTCCATGAATGTTGTATGCTGCAACTCCAGTTGGCGCAAGCAGGAGTACAGGTGATTTTTTCTCAACACCATGATCTTTTGCCAATTCATTAAGCCGAACTACAACTGCTTTGATTAAATAAGATTTTCCGGTTCCTGCAGTTCCCATAATGATAATTCTAAGAGGTTCGACGTTATTATGATCTACAGTTGCAGCAATATAATGTGCCTCGATTCGTTTGAATATTTCCATCTGTTTTTCATTTAAAGTTCGAAAATCTAATATATCAGTAGTTATATTCTCAAAATCCATAGTCTCTTCATTTCGAACTCGCTGCAAAGAAGTCAACACATCTTCGATATTGAGATTGGGATGACGTCTCCTGGTATCACCAACCCAATCGTGGTTCTTATCTATTGCACGTGATCCCAAATCCGAATAATTATCTATAATTGTATTTGGGCCCATTTCCGACAAAAGCATCCATTCTGATCGTATTTCATTCTCGTATTCACTATCCTCCTGCTGTTCATCTTCCTCGTCACTAAATTCATCTTCTATATTATATATAAGAGGGCCTAGCAAATTAACGGGATCATTATTAATCTCTGAAATATAATGCTCAAAGAGATCAGACCAAGCAGTTGTGTTATTTATAATAAGCTGCTCAAGACTTCGGTGGCAAACATGAAGAAGAACTTTTAGGCGACAAAATTCTTCCCATTGAGGATCATTGTGCTGGGGTGAAGGTCGTGGCCAAATGCGTATGATGTTTTCACTTTTACATTTGCTCCATCTACCATTAAAAAACTTATATTTTAAGTAGAGCTGATAAAGTGAAACATCTTCAAGTTCATTAGGCCGATCCCAATACTTTTGTAAGGACGATTTCACCGTTTTTCCAATATTGTCATTTATTAAAAATTCATTCTCATTTCCAGCACCACAAAGCACTCGTGGAGCATCTTTATTAAGATTTAATGATACAAACTGACGACTAGAATGGTAGAGTGGGATGCCAAGTAGAAGGTGGCAAGTTTCTTGTGCAGAGATATCATGCTCTGCAACAGTATGAAGAAGTAACCTCTGAAATGAAGCAAGTGATGAATCATTAGAGTTGCTGTTGCAGAGAATTCGATTCAATATCTCTGAAAAAGCTTCGGAACGCGGCTCAGATTTGCTTGCATATTTAGAGATGTACTGAAGAGCTGCATGGGTGCTGAGAACTGGTTTCAAATCAACATTAGCACGCCATCCCTGAAGCTGAAGTCGATCATGCGGGTTGATATAAGGATCATTCCTCACCGTTATAAGCTCTGGATGACCGTGATCATCATCATGTATAAAGGTATGTTCTACAATTTCTTTTGGATAGCCAAATCGACAATATTGTTCACCCGCACGATTAATACGAAGACAGTATGACGAACTACATCTTGTATGACACTGCAATTTATTAATTAACTCAATATAATCTTGCAGGTCATCTTGTAGTTCGTCATCACGCTTCTGACAAGAATGACTATCAGGTACAGGTGCATCTATCCTTGGATTAATTGTAGTGACTAAAGAATTTAGATATTGGACCACTCTAACCATTGTGTCATTGTTTTCTTTCATTTTATCCCACTCGATTGCTGGTGAATTCATCCGTTTTCCAATACCGTGTATATGAGCACTGCCACGGTGTTGCCACTCGAACCTATATCACCAATCTTCTAAATTCCACTTAGGAATTAATACGTCTTCTAAAAAAGATTTGAAACGATTTTCAAAGAACCACGCAGCTATATGAGGATTATCAATAAGGTCTTGACGTCGTTGGGATGATGAACTTATTTGATTCTCACTATGTGGCATAAGCTCGTGCAACTCTGGCCAGTGTAAGTCTGCTGCACTAAAAGTGAAGAAAATCAGTCCTTGCGATCCCAATTGTTTAATCATGTCCGACAATTCAAGCCGTCTTCTGTTCCAAAACTGCCGAGTTTCACATAAACTTTCTCCAAACCGTATAACTTGATCGGCCAGATAATTATTACTTTCAATCATTTCCTGAACCTCTTCAACGGTAAGTTGGTTTTCGTTTAAACTTTGCTTAACATACACCCTTCCTTCTTGCAATGCCCTCCATCTCATTTGTGAATTTAACGCAAAATATCGTCAACAAGTATGCTGTGCAAATCTGCCGTCTTTGTATTTAAGCATATGTTGGAAATATTCTGCAGGCTTTACATCTCTCAAACGTTCTGAATGAAGGTCAGCTTTTCCATATGGATACAAAGTCGGAAAAGCACGCATAATGTATCCGGGAGTATGGAATTCATTATTGGAATTACCATCAATATTTGGCCATGCTATCGTATTCCTGGTTTGCATTCTTGCAAGAGCATCATTAATTGTGTCATTTTCACGATGAGATCGGGGAGAAACTGGAACGAAGTTGCGTATAATTATATCATCAGTTTCATTTTCGTCATCGTTTAAGCTTTCATCTTCCGTGTTTTGAACTTGCGGAAGGTAATTATCAATTGGACCATTTTCAGGTAATGACTGAAGTGCTTCATTATCAATTTCAATGTTAGCATAATACCGATTATTTGATTTGAGCCATATAAGCGCCTTAGCAATTTTAACACAGCGAACATTAAAATCTCTGAAGGCAGGTCCACTTGCAGACTGTCGACGCACAACAAGAACGTCCAATGATGATGGTTGACGAGGAAGACGTATTGCAAACTCATGTACGTCTTGAGGAAAGTTGATAACATTTCCTTTATATGTATACTGGCCTCCGCGAAGGCAATATACTGAGATTACAGGAAATATTTGTGCAATCAACATTTCCTCAATCTCAGTAAGATCCTAAAGTTCCTCAGGTATGTCTCCCGGGTCCATGTTATTTTCTGCTGAAAACTTTTTTGGAACGTTCTTATCACTATAGCAACGACGGCATTCTCCAAGGACTAGCTTTATTGACGGGAAGCGTTCATTGCACGTGGGACAAAGTTTGTGCTCAAATTTATTAATCTTATTTCGAAATTTTTGCAACAATTTACGATCAAATTCATTTAGGGACTCAATTTCAGTGGATACTGAAGGCATACTATAGTTAATTGTAATTTTTTTTAATTTATACAGTATTTAATTTTTTTTTATTGATTTTTATTAATTAACATATACAAACATTTGTTCATTATCTTGATTGTTTAAGTTTACATCAGCAACATTTAAGGCTCTTCGTTGCTTTTTTTGACCTTTTTCTTTATCCAAGCGTTCTCTATGTTCTTCTGCACTTTCAGCACTTTTCCTCTTCATTTTATTATCACGATCGCGAGCAAAACGATTTTGGCGTTGATCAGGGGTTTCATTCTCTCTACTTTTGTGTTTTCTAAGCGCATCATGTTCTAAATGGTCTGCCATTATTTTTTTTTTTCTAAAAACGTATTTACTAATTATTACAATTAATGAGGTTGTTTGTAGCCCCTTTTTTTTTTTACGCGAAGTGCGTACTTTCTACTGGAATATGACTCAACGTGATACCAATTCGCCTAAATATTCTTTCATGTGATACCATACAGTTAAGCATGCCGTTACGATTTTTCGTAAGTATTTAGCTTAATTACAAGCTAATTACAATTTATCCCTTAAACACAAGGCACAAGTTTGCCATTGAGCATAAAATTGGAAGGATAAAATTTATTAATCCCGGACCCACAAACCAGGATTCCGATATGAATTTTGTGATAATTCCACATATAAGCATTATTGCTTAAAAGTGGGCTATGACTTCATTAGTAAATTTTTGAGCGATCGTGGGCGAATTTATTAACGCTGGTCCATTTTAATTGTTTAATTTAGCTGGTATGTGTAAAGAAAATTTTCTATTGATGTACTAAAATAAGCTATTCAAACTCATAAATATTTATCACTTTTAATTTTATTTAATTTAGTGGTAAATATAAAAAACTTTTATTTTAACTATCCAAGCTTGTAAATATTTACCACTCTTGATTTTATTTATTCGAGTTAATTTTCATAGGCAGAAGTTTGTCTGATTGGCTAATAATTCAATTTAATTTTACGGTTTAGAGCACTTTTTTAAAAAAAATGAAAACTAATCATAGTGGAATAAAAATGCTGTATAAAAGGTTTCATTAGAGCTGTAAGACTCCATAGCCAAAAATAAGATTTAATCCTCATCCCATTTAAAAAAGTTAGTATAATAATAACTTCTCAAACCCCGATAAAATAAACATATTACTAAGCAACTTTTTTAAACGGGCAACAATTAGATCTTATTTTTGACTATGGAGTCCTACAACTCTAATGAACCTTCTATATAGTTTTTTTTTTACTTTATTATAGTTGGTTTCCGTTTTTTTTAAAAAGTACTCAAAGTTGCATAAATAATGTAAAAATAAATTGAATTTATTAGTCAATCAAACGAACTTCTGCATATGACGTTAATTTCGCTGATAAATCTAAAGAATTTATTAATAAATGCGTTAATTTAGTGGACAATGTAAATAGTATTAATCGATATATTTAGTATTCAATTGCATAAATATTTATCACTTTGAATTTCTGCCCAGAATTTTGGGAGTTTGGTGAATTATATTAAAATTTACAATAAAACTTTCAAATCCGCATGTAATGCAACGAAAATCATTACGGTGCATTTGTAAACTGCCCAAATTTGAAAAAATTGACTACTATGTAAATATAGATTTTGACTGAGAAAATCAACATTCCTCAAGTTATAATGCGTCATTTAATAAATTCCTATGTCCAATGGTGTCAAGAAAATCCCGGACTGAAGATCGCTGAATATCAATAAAATCACTGGATATCATGTAACAAAGAAACGCGAAAAACATAAGAAATTGTAAAAAAACGTAAATAACACTAAAATTTACTATGATACCTAACTTCCGACCTCTAAGTAAAAGTTTTAGAATGAAAATTTACTTATAGAACATGATTCTTAATGTTAGATATATAGAGAATTTTTGATATATTACGACCCATATTTTTTTGGGTAACAGCTTGGGATTTTCTTGACAAGGAAATTCATTAGTATGTGAGAAAGATGCGTTAGATCAGAAAAATTTTTTCGGGTTAACATAATATATAATTTGTTACCCAAAATTTAAATTTGAGGACCAAATGATTAGATTTGGTAACCGATTATTTGCTTAATTCTGTTAACACGCCGTACTGATTTTAGTAATACGTATAAATTTCCATTCATTATAGTGTCTAATTACAAACAAAGTGCAGATAACACAGTGATAGTAATAAACACTAATAAAATTTTTGGATTTGCATTTTATATAATATTAAAGATTATAAAAAAATAACTTTTGTCTTTAACTTTTTCCTTAACATCAAACATTTTTAATTATATAAAAGTAAAATGTTTAATAAAAGCTATCTTTACATAATAATAATTCTCAAACTTTATAAATATTTTATATAAGTTATATAATAATAATATACTAATTGTGATTTGTTAACATACATGTTTATGAAATTATATAATTTAATCGACAATTAATATTGAATTTTATTATTATATAATTTATATAAAATATATTAAATAAAATTTTAGCATTATTACTATGCAAAAATAGTTTTTTTTAAATATTTTACTTCTATAGAATTAAAAAATATTAGATACGTATTAAAGATGAAGTAAAGACTATTTTTTTTACAATTATTTAATTAAAAAAATTGTTTGTAAAATTTTAAGCTAAAAACTTCATTTTATAAAACCATATTCATAAAATAAATCTTTTTTAAAATATCAAATATATTTATTTTAATATTTTATTATATAATTATAAATTATTTAATGTTATAAAATAGTTTATAGATATAATATAATAATTTAAATTTTTTGCTTCGGACTTATAACAGTTCCTGTTAACCTAGTAATTATATTAAACTTTGTACTTACTTCCTTAAGCCTTTATGTCTTAATAAAAATATATATTAACAAGTTTTTTTTTTTTTATTAATCTTATTAACTTTATATATTTTATCTAACTATATAACTATTTAATATTAAATAAATAACAACATATCTTTCTTCTTTTAATATTAAAAGCTTTAATATATAATCATATATTCATAATGATCTTTGACAAAAAACTTCAAATCCAAGAAACTTCAAGCATTATCTTTTTACTAGACTCTGTAGTTCAAAATTTTTATATAATTATTTTAATTCAAAACTTTTTAAAAATTCTTGCACATCCCAGCACATAAACAATCCTCCTATTCATACTGGCCTATCTGGCACTCCTTACTCAACCTAATCCAATCCTATCAACATACAGTTACTTTTCATAAAGTACCTGCACACAGTAACAATATATTTAACAATGAAGCCGATAAGCTAGCAACAAATCACAACTCTACTGCATACCTTGATTTCATACACAATAACCTATATAACACCTCATATACTCTAAAATATAGAAAATA